TATCCTCATGCACCATTTCCCTTTGTTGTTGCTGAAAGAGTTGATGATCTCGAGTGATTTGCAGGATTTGAGCATTTTGTTGTGTTTGAACTAACACAGCTGCAGCAAGTTCACGAACATCTCGAGTGTCAGCTTGAGAGTTCGTTCCAGTTTGGGAATGATCTTCTCGTCCAATGGGAATGGTAGGTGCTCCTTCAGGAGTAACTTCATCACTCGCATTCCTACGTATACCTCTAGTAGTGCCTCTAGCAGCACTCCTACCACGCCTCGCACCTCTGACGTTCTGAACCATAACTTCCTGAAAAGGAATAGTTATTAGGTTCAATCATTCACAAGACATAAAGAACATAACAATTATGTATATTTATATCCCAATGAATGATTCATCGATAAGGATTTTTATCAAGTCTCCCACAGGCAAGGGATAATTGTGTCTAAAATGTTGAATTAATATCTTAAATATAACTAGAATTCAGGAAAACATAATCAACATTTAATGTATAAACAAAAATGTATCAATTTATTTAATAACAACGATTACAAAAATCGTGACCATGTCTCATTCAAAAACCTCTACTTGTAAACCAAGCTAAGACTAATAGTGGTAAAACTATAATTATCATTATTGCTACGAAATCTTTACCTAATTCTTCATGCTTGATGATACCAATAACAAACAAAATAATGACAAGAAGAGTGATGAATAAAAGAAAGGATTTAGCCATTTGAAAGGTATAGATAAATATTTAGGAATTGATATGAAAATAATGGATGGGTGTGAAGTATTTATAAAGTGAATTTTGTGAAGTGTCCGTTACGTTACCGTTGGGTTTGTGACCGTTGGGGAGGAAAAATAAAGTGTGCTAAATAAGTTTCCTAGACCATTATACTAGAAGGCTCTCAAGATGAAGACTCAATGCACAGAAGAAAAGTTATCATCCAGTTTGGAATCCAACTTGATACAGTCAGTATAATTCTAGACACTTACGGTCCGAGCTGAATCGACCAGCTCTGATACCATTAAATGAGACAGCCTATGTCCCATTAGTGGAATTCTAATGAAACCTTATAAAAATACAGAAAAATTTGAAATTTTTAAAGGACAATACTTAATTATTTAAAAACATACTGTTTCACATACATATGCTTCAAATATATTTTACAGAGTTTGACACCGTTAAGACTAGCGGCCTTGCCACATAGATAAAACATAAAATAAAAGTACAGAAAGGAAACCAAAAAGAAAGCATACCAAAAGGGACCTCCTAAGTCCAACAAGACTGACACTTATACTGACTGTAGTAGTAGGGATGTGATTAGCGTTTGACAAAACACTAACAGCTCCCAATCTAGATGTTATAGTAACACATCTCCACGTCACTTCATATCCTTTCCTTCTGAGTTGTCGGGAAGTACGCAAGATTCGAGCTCATCGTCTGATCGTCATAAAATAATCCAAAATGCAAAACAAAAATGACACAGGGCTAAGATTCATGTACAAGTTTAAAAGTGGGAATGAATGTGTAAAATAATAATATATATGGAAACCATATTTATACAAACAAGCGTATCTTATACCCACAATTACATATACTTTATTTATTCTAATGCATCCCTGAACTATATGCTGACTCAGGCCACTAAACGCTGTCAATGATATCTATCCCATTTACCAAGATCAGATATCACTAGACCACATGCCACCAACGTACTCCCAATTACCAAGAGCTACGCCACCTAACTTCACATGGAGCCTAGGTGTTATAAGTCGATCGTCCCTGAGAATTCAGGCCAAGAACCTTGTCTTGCCTAGCATGCATAGATAATAATCCCCGTCGGGATTGCAGGCGACTGATCAACCTCGTGCGTCCCATACCGCACGGCGGTGGACTTACACATTCCTTAATGCAAGTCTATATGATCACTCACTCATCTTGTGGCAACTCTTAGCCATAAGTATTAAGTTAATAATGGGGAATTATCGTATCAACTTTTCAAGTTATACTTATTATCTAGATACTTAGGTTGAGTACCAAATCCATCCAATGTCTTGCCATATTTGATCTTTGTCCTTACATAATAAGTTCAGTTTGTATAATGGGTAATTGTATGGTTAACTTCCCAGGTAAGAGAGGTGGACTGTAAACGGCATAGTCGACCAAGTCTTTCCTTAGCCAGAACCCAACCAAATATAACTACTCATTGTATCCAACTTTCCTTATGTTAATGGGGATCAATTACTTAATATCTAGCAATGTTTTTCTCTCATTAACCGATTATTTCCTTAATCTATCAATCACAATCATTCAAGTATAAATAAAATAAACAATTATAAAATTAACCGAATAATGCAAGCACAATACAATACCAAATTGTCAAAGATTATTCCTATGATAATTAATTAAGGCCGGCGTAACCTCGCCTAGTGATTTGTGAAAATCATTATTTGAGAATAGGCTCTCCTTAATTATTTATCGCTAGTAGGGCTTAGGTCACCACTACACACATATATATTAAGTTATTTTACGCTAACCGTCCCAATCGTATACGAAATCTTGCCCCCACCTTTTGTTGAGTGTTGTTGAAAGTCCACAAGTGTTGTCTTCGATCTTTGCCAAGAACCTAATTTACGATAACCGTTGGATTGTACGAAATTTATGAAATAATTAGAATATAATTTATGGTTAATTGAACATAATCCCGTTATAACTTGAAATATTTATTTATTTAAATATATCATAATAACCTCCAAAATAATTATTAAATTCAAATATAAATTATATTATACCTCCTTTTGAATTTGTTTGTTTTAGAAAATTGTCAAGAGTATATTTCTAATAACATTTAAATTATAATAAAATTTGGGCATTATAACGACTTAAAATGGTAAAATTTATTTTGGACTTTATAAGTTCAATATATCGACGTCTGAACGGAATTTGCATAGAAAATTTAAAATAACCTTTATATAAATAACATAATTAAAATAATATAATTAAAATAAAATGGACATTATAACGGCTTACCGATTACTTATGAAAATGATTTGGGCAGAACTTTGACGTATAAAACTCCCTTGAAACTTTAGAAGAACTTTTACCACAAAATACTCTAAAGGTTACGAACCGATATCGTGGGAACTTCGATAACTAAAACTAATATTGCTATATGAAGAAATTAGAGAAGGAAAGAAGTAAAGAAGTAAGAAAGATGATTTGTGAATGAATGAATGAAAATGGGGTGGAAGAGACCCCTATTTATACTAGTTGTAAAATATTAAAATAACATAATTTATCATCTTTTGCCCATACCTTCCAACTTTTCAACTCTTGCTAGTAAATATGTCTCTATCAAATATTTACTAATCTTTCATCAATAGTGCTTTAGGTGTTCTAGTATGACTTTGTGAAAATAATTTATGACAAAGGTATGGGAGCTTGATTTCATGACATAATATTATGTAGGATATTAATAGAAAATGAGATATATATTTCTTTTATAAAAAGTAAAATGTTAATAATATTAATAATAATAAAAATAGTAAAAAGGATAGTTATTTGATATTTTTATTGTCTTAAGATTATTTTATTTATTAATTGGTTTATAGAGTAAAATGATAATATTCAAATAAAATAAAATCAATTAATAATAACAAAACAAGAACAACAATAATGATAATAATAATATGAATAATTAATTAACTTAAAGTTAAGGGTTTTAAGTACCAATTTAAATTTCAAAGTTTAGTTTATAAAATGAAACGATGATATTCAAATTGAAGAATAAAAGTAATAAATATAAAAAGTAATTAATTAATAAATTAATTATTATAAGTGTTAGTTTCAACATTTAATTTTTAATAACTAGCATTGTTAAAATCTCAAATCTAACTAGATATATTATTTAGTGTATGGAAAAATTAGGATGTTACAGAGAACGAGAGCAACAATTCGGTGAAATCAAATTTTTGTGACTTATGGTTTTCACCCTCTATATTTTGGAGTTTATTTGTTCGGTTGAAAGAAAGGAAACGTAAACAAATATGGAGAATGGTTGGAACAATACTAAAATTGGGCTAAAAGATGGGTGAAGTAAAAGATTTAGAGCGTAATTATAACTATTAGTTTGATTCATCTACTTGACGGTTCATAAAAATTAAAACTGAGAATCGAACAAAATTACATTGATTTTCATTAATTTTGTTTAGTTTTAGAACCGAACTAAAAACAATCAATTTTTTCTAGATATAATCTAATTTAAATGATCAATTTAATTAATTTTTTCCAATCCACTTATTCTTCCCATAAATATAAATATACTATTTTCGAATATTGACTTCAGTATAGATATTCATTATAGATGGAAGTTATAAAGTCATTTTAATTTAAGCCAATTATTTTGGGGGCAAAAGTGAATATAAAATCATATAAAATATGTTTTTAGTTTTTTCACCATCTTTGATATTTTTATATTGATCGCTATAAAACCCGCTCGAATTCTAAGAGTTTTTTATTCGCATACTCTCTCTAAATCGCACAGTGTTCTTCTTTCTCGCTCCTCTGTAAGATCCAACCCAAACCCTAGCAAACCCCCTCCGCACAGAGGGAGAGACAGCTGAGAAGACGCTTCCTCTACTTGCTCCCCTCACTTCTCCTTTCACCACCCTTTCTCCTATTAGGTATATCTCTCTCGCGCACACTCAATCGATTCAACTTCTCTCGTAATTTTGATTTTTCTTTTTATAGTAAAATTTTCTGTGTTAACATTGCTACTCAAATCGAAGCTTTGTTTTGTTATGGTGAGTTTAGAGATTTAGTTTAAGTTAGGGTTTTTGATTAAACGTGAAATTTCAGTTCGGAAAGTGTCACTGTTCTAATTGTTGGATCAAATAATACTCTGGATACTTTTTTTCTCCCTGTATTTAACCTAAAGTAGAGTATTGATAAATAGGAATTGTGGTTTTCATTTGCCAGTTGTGTTGGCTTTTTGACTCCATTGCAATGGCAACTTCAGAGCAGCTAGCTCCAACCAAAACTCCGGCTCCTGATGTTGTATGGTTATCTACATTTGTTTGTTTGTTTTTGATACTTTTTGTTAATCTTCGTGTAGCTGACTATTTTGAAAAATGTAACTTTGGGTTAGGTTGGTCATGCCTTTGTTGATCAGTACTATCATATGTTGCATGAAAGCCCTCAGCTGGTACATAGGTTTTACCAAGAAGTCAGTAAGCTTGGTCGTCCTGAACCAAATGGGATAATGGGAATCACTACCACAATGACTGTGAGTTCCCTCATCATCTATATGTATAATATATATGTATCTGTTGTCCGTTATATATCATGTGTACCCCCTGTTTTGTTTTGTGCATTTTCATATATACTTGTATTCATATCTCTGATAGGTTTATATATATCTCATTTGGCATTGTTTGGTACCAATTTGTAATACTCCTGGCTTTTATTTCACTTCCCACGTGCATTACTGTAATTTCTTGTTTATTTCATACCTCCAGGCTCCAACATTGTTTTATATATGTATTGAAAATATGCTGTAAGATCAGACCCAAAGTGTCCACCTTATTACTTTATGATGATGCTTTTTAAATTTCTTTCCATTTGTTTTCCTGTTGTTTCTATTGATGATCATCCAAAGTCTATTTGTTAACTCATATTTTTAGTAATACACACTATTGGAATTGGTTGAATATGAATAAGTTTCTTAATATATATAATTATAATGTATCCTATTTCATTTTATCAAGCAGGAAATTGACAAGAAGATACTATCATTGGGTTACAGTGAACTTAATGCAGAGATTGTATCTGTGGATGCACAAGAGTCCTATGGTGGGGGAGTCATTGTCTTGGTGACTGGGTTTATGACAGGAAAGGATGATATTAAACAGAAATTTACTCAATGTTTCTTCCTTGCTCCTCAAGAGAAAGGCTACTTTGTTTTGAATGATGTTTTCAGATATGTTGATGAAAATGGAATCAAAGAGTCTGATCATGAAATTGTATTACCTGCTTCTACTGACAATGGTAATAGTAATACTATGCATAAGATGTGATTCAGTTAAGTGTTTTTTGTTCCCTTTGGCTGTTTATTCAAGTTGTCTGTATCTTCAACCTTCTTTCAGTGTCAGATCCACCTGTGCTAGAGACACAAGTTCCAGAGCAAATATCCGTGACTGTTGAGGGTGTTGCTGGGGAAGAAGTTTACAATCCTGAAAATGAGCAAGTGTCGGTTGAAGAAGAGGAAGTTCCTGTTGCTGAGGTTCTTGATGAAATTCCCGATGATTCACAGATGGTATCTGGTTTGGTATCCCAAATTGAAGAAGTACCAAAGAAGTCATATGCCTCTATTGTATGCCTTCAATTTAAAAATACCCTCTTCCTTTCCATCCCTTTCTAGACTCTTACGTATTGATATACCACTGTAAAGGCCACTTTCTATATTATTTTACCACTGCTTGAAATGCTGAAAATTTACCAAGAATGATACTTTTGTCGTCTTTTTTTAGAAGAGTAATAATTGCATCTGTTACTTATTATTTTCCAATAGGTTAAGGTAATGAAAGAGGGTGCAGTACCATCCTCTATAGTGACAGCTGTTTCTGTGAAATCTGTCCGTAAGATTCAAGAACATCAGAGCACCACTGCACCTCCACCATTCAGCGGGCCAGAAACAAATGGTTCTAGTATAAACACTAATGAAGGTGGAAACAATCAAGAAACTGAAGGTCTGATGCACCATATCTGGCTCTAGTTCAAATTTCATAGCATTTGTCATAGTGATATATATTGATGTATTTAATTTCTCGCCTTTTGACAGCTGAGGGCTATTCAATTTATGTGAAAGGGCTGCCTGGAAATGCTACACCCGCACTTCTTGAGAACGAGTTCAAAAAGTTTGGCCCTATTAAAAGTGGAGGTATCCAAGTTAGGACGCAAAAGGTATATCACTTGATAATTCCTTGTTTTTTGAAGTGTTGGCAGCTAGCTAATCATACCTTTTTTGGCATTTCAATGGATTTTGTCAGGGATTTTCCTTCGGCTTTGTGGAGTTTGAAGTGTTAAGTGCTGTGTATAAGGCACTCGAGGTATTTATCAGATGTTGCTTCATCTCCAGGAATTCCATAGTCAAACATGATTTGCATAGACAATTTGTAATTCGAAATCAAATCATTATCTTCTTCAGTGCATTGATGCCAATCAGCAAGTTGTATTTGGTTCCCTTGTACTTGTTTTCTTGCTTACATTCTTAATAGGGTAGTTTTTTTTTGTAGTTGAAATTCACTTGCCCAATCTGCTCTTTCACCAAATTGTTCTGCACTGCAATTGAGTTGTGCTTCATTGCCTGTTAATGAATACTGTTGTTGTAAATTTCTTATGTTTCTGAGTTGTGGATATCGTTTCTAGTCATTTGTATGTGGTGTTTGTATGGAGCAAATGAAATATAAACTATGTAGCACCGGCATTTCTGAAAAAAAGGCGTGTCTGTGTCCGAGTCGGACAGCTGCACCTACACTTGTGATTACGTTTAATTTATTCATTTTTTCAAATTATTCCTCGCGTCACTGTTTCAGTGTCGCGGTCGTGTTCTATGTGTCCGTGCTTCATAGAATTATATAGCTTGCTCCACTATGCTCTCCCTGTGTTAGTCTCTTGATTTTCATTTGTTGTTGCTAATTCTATAAGTCCTGTTTGTTACTACTGGATTATGTTGTCTTGAAGGCTGTAGAGTATTGAGTTCTACTTTTAGTTTTGCCATTTTATCCTTGTTTTTTATTTTATCTGGTTTTTGGAATTGTTGTGTACAATCTTCTGATTTGTCTTGGTCTATAAATGTTCTAAATATTTATATTCTTTATTTCATTGGCAATGTGTTTTGTCGGCGTTTCAGGTTTCACCAGTTCTGATCAATGGCCGTCAAGTTATTGTCGAGGAAAAGAGATCAACTAATCGAGGCAAGTGCTTTTTAGTATTGGTTCAGTTCACTTCAAGGTTCAAAATTTATGTTTATGCACATAATAGCTATGGAATTTGTGGGGTTTGTGTATGTAAAACCTGTTATGTGTATGGATGCCATGATTTGTGAAGAGATTTATCTCCCATATTGAACTGGTTAAGAGTCCCACATTGGGCAATATATGTCTTTATAAGTTTGGGTAATTCTCACCCTACAAGCCGCCGGGTTTGTAGGCCAACAACATTTCTTAACATGACATCAGAGCCTCGTTTAAAATCCGGTGGACCACCTACTATTAGGTTTTCGTTATCGGGCCACCCATCATTAATTTTCACGCTCCATATGTCCAATTCTGGGCGTGAGGGAGTGTGTTAAGAGTCCCACATCGGATAATATACATTCTGAACATGTTTTTATAAATGGACGCAATCCTCACCCTACAAGCCGGTTTTGTAGGCTTGAGTTAGGCTAAACCACATTTCTTAACAGAACTATATTCGAGCATTAATTGAAAACCTTCAATGAATTGGGGTCCAACATGTTTCATGATTATAGGGTAACCTCGAGAGACATTATGGGGATGATAACTTTAATGAAACGTGTTTCCCGCTTGGTTGTTTTATGTTAAGCGTTTGTTTACATTTTGCTTAATGACTAGCTGTTAATTTGAATCATGGAAGATAATGATTTAGATTCTTTCAGATGATTATTCATATTTCTAATTTTTAGTTTTTCAAATCCTTGCACACAATATCTGGTGTGTTGAATAAACGATTCATATGTCTAGTAACGATTAGTCGTTTATCTTTTGCAAATGGCTTTAGAGCTCAGTTACAAAAAAGTATATTGCAACATGATATTTTTTGTTACCAGTTTCTGTTTTCCTCTATGTTGCAACAATTTTATTTATTTATTTATTTTAATTTTGTGGGTTCTTCATTGTGTTTGGCCTTGTAATGAACTTTATTTAATTTTTATCGTACTTGAACTCAACATTTACTTACTTTTACATTATTAATATATTACTGTTACTTTTAATTTTTTTTACACGAGCTTCATTATCATTATTATTATTATTATTATTATCATTATTATCATTATTATTATTATTATTATTATTATTATTTACTTTTAAGAAAGATATCATTTGGGAGAGGTCCATGATTGCTGAACTTTTGACATAAAAATGGGTTTCTACTTAGTCTTGCTGATTATATTTCATGCAGTGAGCTGTTTGCATTCTCTGTTCAGGTTATAGAGGACGATTCTCGTCTGGAAGGGCACCTGGATTCAGGGGTGAGGGAGGAACAAGAGGACGAGGAAACTATGGAAATGGCCGAAGTTTTGGTCGTGGAGACTTCAACGGTCGTGCAGACATTAACGGCCACGGAGACTACAACAGTCGTGGAGACAACGGGCGCGGAGACTTCAACGGACATGGAGACTTTAATGGAAGAGGTGAATATGGATATAGGAATGGTAACCGGGGAGGATTTTCAAGCCGTGGAGGTGATGGGTATCAGAGAAACGATCATATGGGAACCAATGGTGGCCGCATGAATCGTACTGGCGTGTCTTCTGTTAACTCGGCACCCAAAGCTACTGCTACTCAGCGTGTTCCTGCCTCTGATTGAGGAAGCTATGCATCTAAGAGTCTGACTGATTGATAGTTTATTACAATTTGCATTAACTGAAGCATTTGGAATTAGAAAGAATTAAATAGCAAACCTTTTTTAGATGAGTTAAGTTTACAGTCCCCTTTTTTAGGTCATTTTTCTGATATTGGTGGTCTTGGGAAAAGGTAGTTGTCTTGGGAAAAGGTAGTTTTCAGTTTCCATTCATTATATAATGAATCTAAAGGTAGTTTTTGTGCTTCCCCAGTTTTTATGAAAATATATATATTTGGGGTATCATTTTTTGATATATTCTGGTATTTGGTAGTTGTGGCTTGAGATGTTTGCTACCATGACTTTTATAAGACTAGCTAGCGTTTCATCTGATATACCTTTCCCTGTTATTGACGAACTCAACTGGTATTTTAAACACAAGTTCGGTAACGCTAACTTCACTTCAAGGAACTGTATCATGCTTACAAAAACTCAACTTTACTTCTCACTTGCTTAATTTCAAAACAGTTCACACATTCTCACTCATGTCTATATATGGAATTACATAGTAAAAAACCATCTCACCATCTATTTGGCGTTTATGAACAAGAACTCAATCTAATATCTCCAAGTAGTATTTGGGCTCTGTAATAACTTGCTAAAAAATCATTTTTAATTGCTATAAAATCACTTTATATAACAAAACAGTGAAAATTCTATTAAATACTTGTGATTATAATTTTGTTAGCTTAAACGTGTGTTTCTAGGGAGTTTATTTGTCACGCCTTAAGGTTTGTTATAATCAAATAAATACAATTTTGTTGAAATTGACATATCTAATGTTTTTTTTTCAAAACAAGCAACTACAAGATTGCGGAAACATTGGTGAAGAAATTTTGGATGTGGAGAGGGAAACATGGAAACAATGGTGGAGAAATTTTGGATGTGGAGAAATTTTGGATGTGGAGAGGGAAACATGGAAACAATGGTGGAGAAATTTTGGATGTGGAGAGTGAAAGAGGAGAATTGAAAGAGAGAAAATTGTAGAAATTTTGGATGTGAAAAGTGAAAGGAAAGAATTGAGAGAGAGAAAATTGGGGGCAAGAGGTTATGTTTTCATTAACAGGGTGATTGTGCACCATAAATACTTATATATGCACCATAAATACTCATATATGAGTTACAAAATAGTTGGGACATAAATTGATCATCATATGTAAAATATAAAATATAAAAAATCGTACGTATAACCAATTACACCAAACTGGCTAACGGTACATCTGAAATTGAATTAAATTGGAAATTAAATCAACTTTAGTGGTAATCGGTTACACAATTTTGTAACCGGTTACACTTGCGATATTTCTATTTTTATGTTATTGGAATGCATCTCAGGTCATATTGTGACTGGTTACACACCCATGGTAACTGGTTATAACACTTGAATTACTTCAAAAATTTCAACACGCCATCTTAATTCAAGTGTTGCAAGTCTACCACACCAATGCTCATCTTCAACCTCTTGAATATACATTTGTGACTCCATTAGTTAACAAATCAGCAACTTGGTCCTCACTACTGCAATATCCCAATCGTAACCTTCCTTCACTAACAAGTTTCCTAAAATAGTGAAATATCATCTCAATGTGCTTGCTACTCCCATGTGCAATTGGGTTTTTAGTAAGATTAATCGCAGAAACGTTGTCAACTAAGAGTGTGACAACCTCACCCTCACTACTGTCTAACTCCTCCATTAGATTCATAAGCCACACGACTTAACACACACATAAAGAAGCAGAAATGTGCTCGGCCTCACAAGATGATAGTGCAACTAGCGGTTCCTTCTTCGAACACCATGAGAATGGTGTCGTACCGACATAAAGATGTATCCTGCAGTAGACTTTTGACCATCTTTATATCCACACCAATTGGAATCGGTAAACCCGAGCAAATTGCATTTTATGCTTGTATCCAATGTTTTAAAAATCAGACCGAAGATCGAACCGATGAAACTTTCAGTTTAAGGTTCAATTGGTTAAACCGGTTAATCCTACGGTCGAACCATTTATTAAATAAATTAATAATATGAAACTAAATTTCATAGATATGCTCTCAACTTAATAAAATAAATATTTCAAAAATCTATTACAAATTTAATACAACAATATAAATAATAAATAACATATCATAAGTCTACACTTCATTTCGACCATCATTTAAGAATATTTTGACCAAACTAAAAAATTACAATAAAATAAATTAAACTAATTCAAAACAAAATTAAAATAATAGAATATAATAAATAAATAAAGTTCAAATAATTAAAAATACATAAATTAAATAAGATAGAATACCAAAATATAAATAATACAATATACTTTATTAAACAAAAAAAAATCAAATTTTAGTTGAAATACGACAAATAAGTCTTAATTGACAACAACAAACAATATTGACTTGAACGACAATCAATAGAGTTGGACATGGTGACAATATTTGAAAGAGACGACATGGTGACGATGGAGTGTGGTTGAAAGGAAAAATATAATGGAGTGACAAAACTTAGAAGTTTGTATGATTGTAAAAAATACACGGAATTCTTTTTTGTGATTGAGGAATGTAAGTTAAGTTTTGATATTAACATATTAAACTTAAAAAAAAGGTCAATTTGATGAATTTTTTTGAACCGGACAATTTTAAAAAACTGGCTCCGATTCTTTGGTTCAAATGATTTTGGACGGTTCAACCCGATTTTTCCGGTTTAACTCCAGTTTTGACCCACTAGCGGTTTTGAAAGGTTGACCCAACCAGGTTTATCTCTGGTTCCCGGTCCAACCGGTTGAACCGGCCGATTCGGTCCGATTTTCAAAACATTGCCTGTATCCGCCGCGGGAAAGAGAATTTTGCAGCCAACAAAACCTTTGACATAACGTAGGATCCTCTTGACTGCTTCCAAGTGAGACACCTTTGATCTCCCAATGAATCTACTCACAATACCGACACTAAATGCCAATTCCGATCACGTATTGCACAAATAACGCAAGGATCCAATCAACCTCCTATATTAAGTTGGATCAACATCTTGCTCACCCTCATTCTTAGACAACTGCATCATTGGTTCAGCCAGAGAAATGACATCATTGCAATGCTCCATTTCAAACTTTTTCAATATCTCAAGAGCATATCTACTTTGGTGCATGAGTAATCCCATTTAGGACCCGTGGAGCTCAATACCAAGGAAGCATGTCATGAGACTAAGGCCAGTCATCTCAAACTCTTACATAAGTTCATTATTAAATCTTAAAGTGCATTTTTCATTGCTGTCTGTGATCAATAAATCGTCTACATATAGACAAAGGATAATTACTCATTCACTTGCATCCGTCTTCACATACACGCCATGCTTGGATACACATTTCTTGAAGCCATCCATTATTTTTTCCAAGCTCTTGGAGCTTGCTTCAAACCATATCACGCTTTCTTCAATTTGTAAAACTTCAGCTCTTGGTTTTTCACAATAAAACCACGGGTCTATCCTAATATACCTTCTTCTCAAGTGGTCCATTTAAAAACGTGGATTTGACATCTATTTGGTAGACATGCCAATTGTGTTATTTGAAATACCAACAATAAACCTAATGGTTTCAATCCTAGCAACTGGTGTACAAAGCTCCTCAAAGTCTATGCCATATCTTGGAAAAAATACCTTAACCACCAATCGAGCCTTGTGCTTGATTATCTCACCCTTGAGATTTGCCTTCACTTTGAACACCCACATCACACCAATTGAATTCTTTCCTTTTGGTAGATCAACTAACTCCCAAGTACTGTTCTTCTCAATAGATTCCATCTCCTCTTTCATAGCACAAATTCACTTTGGGTCTCTTAAGGCCTCTTTTTTATTAACGAGTTCGCATTCGGCCATAAGCGTAAAACAGACGAAATCACCATCATCATTGACTTTGTTGTCTTGGAACAACTCACAATCTTGGAGTCTCTGAGGCAAACCCCTCTACTTTTTTGAACTTCTGACATTTTCTTCATTTCGGGCTTCAATGTCATGCTATCCTGGTCTTCCACTTTCCTTAGAATTGAAAATTTCAAACCAGTTATATTTTGGTAACCGCTTACTATCTGCATGTAACCAGTTACAATCTGCTGGTAACCAGTTACACCCTGCTGCACCTGCTTCAATTCATCGATTACGATGTCCCGACTAATCTCGGTTCTCCAGTTTACAACATCAAACAGTCTGTAACCATCGATAGAGTGATATCTAACAAGTATCATCACTTCTCCCTTGTCATCCAACTTCTTTCTAAGTTGACCCGGAACATGTTAGTATGAAACGAAACCAACGACTCTCAAATGGTTCAGATTTGTCTTGAATCTCGACCATGCTTCCTCCAGTGTTACATTTTCCAGCTTTTTTGTAGGGCACCTATTCAAAAAATAAGCAGCTGTTTATACCATTTTATGAGGGAAAATAGTCTCAATCCTTATTTTAATGATGTCAAAACGTGTCTAGTTAGTAATTTGTATTTTAGACGGTATCATCGAGTCTCATCTGAATTCGTATTTCTCTCGTGCATAAATATTTCTCAAGAACATGAGTCTATTCATATAGAAAAGCATTATATGTGTTTTGTGTGAGTTTGATCCTTTTTAAATACTTAGATGTGCATTAGTTATGTTTAGATATAGCAAGACATGTCAAAAATATCATTTTTGGAAGTTTCGAGCATTTGAGTTGACTCAAAGTTCTGCTTAGGTCGACTCATACAAGGTGGATTTTGAGCTTTTGCTCTAAGGAGTGCTCGCGTCGACCCTCCGGTCAACTCATACTATTAGCATTTCAATTTGTAATTTCTGGGTAGCTTTGCGTCAACGCATGAACCTGTTCCAGTCGACGCATAAAGTCAATTTGTGCATAATTCTGAAAGCAGGAGTGCTCAGGTCGACCCCCTCTTTCTTTAGGTCGACCGTTCGCTCGAGTTACCTTATTTTTCTGAAATGTTTTACTTTCA